ACGGTGAAGTCGTGGGAGGGGGTACTGGCACCTACCCTCCGCAGTTCCGCTTGGCACAGGGGGCGAACGCCAAGGGTGGATTGCGATCTCAACGGGGCCCAAAGGGTGGCCTCAAAGCATGCCACGAAACGGCAGGAGTGGGAGGCCGAAAGTTGCCTCCCACTCCCGCCATTCATGCCCCTCGTAGCCACCGATTGGTGCCACCCACAGGTGCCCAGATTAGCACCCGCGAGTGGCACCAATCGGCGCCCACAGGGGCCGAATGCCAAGGCTGGACTGTGGCCTCCGCGGGGCCCAAAGCGTGGCCACAAAACATGCCACAAAACGGCGGGAGTGGGAGGCCGAAAGTTGCCTCCCACTCCCGCCATTCTTGCCCCTCGTAGCCACCGATTGGTGCCACCCGCAGGTGCCCAGATTGGCACCCGCGAGTGGCACCAATCGGCGCCCACAGGGGCCGAATGCCAAGGCTAGACTATGGCCTCCGCGGGGCCCAAAGCGTGGCCACAAAACATGCCACAAAACGGCGGGAGTGGGAGGCCGAAAATTGCCTCCCACTCCCGCCATTCTTGCCCCGTGTGGCCACCGATTGGTGCCAACCGCGGGTGCCCAGATTGGCACCCGCGAGTGGCACCATTCGGCACCCACAGGGGGCGAACGCCAAGGGCGGACTGCGGACCCCGCGGTGCCCAAAGAATGGCCACAAGCAAACGCAACAAAACGGCAGGAGTGGGAGGCCGAACGTGGCCACCCACTCCCACCATTCTCGCCCCTGCTGGCCACCGATTGGTGCCACCCGTGGGTGCCAATCAGGTTATCGCGGCTGGCAACATTCGGCACCCATAAAGCGCCCAAGCGGGAAGCAAGATTCGCCGCGCAAACAGCAAGATCTGCCGCGGATCTTGCACCTCCCCCGGGCTCCCGGGGAGGCCCGCCGCCCCGGTCCTTTTGTGGACACACCCCCCATCCGTTGCGAACCAACCAGCTCACGGAAACGGACGCACGCCGGCGCCTCCGTCTGCAACATCGCGGAATCCTCGAACTCTTCAAATCGTGAATGGTGCGGCTGGAGTCTAAACCCCACAGGCAGCGACTTGCAATACCAATGGCGCCCGCCAGGCCAGCCGCGACCATGGCCATGGGTGTCGGAGCTGCGGAACTGGAGGGGAGGTGCCAGTGCCACTTCCCACGACTCAGCCGTTTTTGGAGGGGGGGCACACGGGGACGTGGCTCGCCCCTAGCTAGGGGCGAGCGGGGCCGGCCCGGCGCGGGGAGGCCTCAGTCCGGTGCATGCATGCTGACGTTGGAAGGCAGCGACTAAATAACGTTTCCCAGGGGGCTATGGGACAGGCGGTGTGCATGCCTTCGACCACAAAACCTTGGCTTGAGTCGCGTTGAGGGGGGGAAGTGGAGTGGGATGGAAGGGCCTGGGCCATGCTCAAATTTAAGAATTCTGTTATTGGCGATCAGCCCGACCAGTCGATCGCTGCGATCTTTCAATTCAAGCAGGCTGGGCAGCCCCCTTGGAGCGCCTCGTGGCATCTCCCTGGCCGGGGACTAAAGCCGAATGGCTTTGGGGCAAGGGGGAGGGGGGTTTGGGGGGGGGGGCAAATTTGAAGAATTGAGTCGGCAGCGATTGGCCCAACAGGCCGGTCGTTGTGACCTCGCACTTCCAAGTTGCTTAGCGCCCTCACTGCAACACTGTGGAGTGCTTCCTTGCCAGCTGATTGGAAGCGAGTGGGGTTGGGGTTTGACGAAGGGGGCGGGGTAAGGGCAAACTTGTGGCGAATGACCCAACGGCCCGATCGCCGTGACCTTTCACGTTAACAAAATGTTTGGGCATCCTTTGGGTGTGCGCCTTGGAGGGCACCTTTGGCACTCGCTTGGAAGAAAGTGATGGTGATGGGTGGATGGGTGGGTGGGGGTTGGGTGGGTTTTAATCTGCCAACTTTCTTTCCAAATTACCAGCAATTAGCAATTTAGCCATCACTGTGCAAAGTACACATGAATGCTACCCTAAACGGGGCTGCTGCGCTATCTTGAGGGATCCGCAATTGGGGGTCTGGCATTTTTTTCAGTAAGGTCGATGCGATTATGGTGACTAGCAATGGCTTAGAAAACTTCCAATTTGGTACACACGGTAGCAAAGGTGTGTGCATATGCCCATCGCCCACGGCTATGGCTCGAGTCGCGTCTGGGAGGGCGATGGGTAAGGGATATTGGGGTTGGGGGGCAACTGATGCGAAAAAAATCTGTTCAAGGCGATTAACGCAACTGGTCGCCCGATGCGATGTTCACTTCGAGCAAGCTGGGCGGCCACTTTGAAGTGCCTCTTGGCGTCTCTTGGCCATAGATTAGAACAAGTGGCAATTTTAGAGGAGTGGGGTGGGCTGGTTCAAGTTCAAATTTAAAAATTGCGGCCGCGGCGATTGACCCAATGGGTCGATCGCCGTGATCTTTCACTTCAAAGAGGCTTGGCGGTGGCGCTGCAGCACTTTGAGGTGCTTCCTTGGCCGCCGATTGGAGGCAAGTGGCGTGGGGGTGGAGGTGGGGTGGGGTGGGGGGAGGCAAGCTTGAAAATTCTGTTTGTGGCAATTGACCCGACGAGTCGATTGCCTTTCACTTGAGAAAAGTGTGCTAATGTTCTTAGAGTGGGAGCCTTGGAGCGCAACTTTGGCACTCACTCCCATTCAGAAGAAACTGGTGGTGGGTGGGTGGTCTTGGGAATAGTATGCAAAGCATGCCAGGTTTGCAATTCTCCTGCAATTTGGCACATGAATTGCAACAAAAGTGCTGCACCGCTCGAGCGAGCATGGTTGTGCAAGCTATGTGTATTTTATGATCATAAGCAAGGAGATGTGGTAGATTCTGCTGGACATGATGAAGTTGTGTATGTTGGATCAGTAGGCACTCCAACCAGCCCCATTCCTCAAGAGAGGAAGGAGGAATATGCTATTGTAAAGCAGCAAGAGAAAGCTCTAGAAAAAGCAGCAAAAGAAAAAGCAGCAATGGAAAAGGCAAGGGCAAAGGCTGACAAGATAGCCCAGCTGCTGGCAGCAATAGGCAAAGAAGAGTATGCTGAATTCTTGAAATTCAAAGAGTCTCGGGATACCCATTAGCAGGCCCAAGCCCCCCATCAAAGGAAGAGCAGCGCAGGTCAGGAAACCCAGGAGATCAAATATACAATGGGTAAACCTGACCCTGCCTTTCAACAGCGGCAAGAGCCATTTTGGGTACAAGAGGCCCGGGGGGCACAAAGGGGTCCTACCCCAAAGGTGCATCTGCAATCCGTGCATGATATTCATGGGTGTTGGGATACCTTGGGGCCCTTTCATAACCAATACAAGGGTGTACACTACAAGGGATACTACCACCCGGTCAGAGGGAAGGCACCTTGCAAAGCCTCCATCCACCTAGATGCACTCCATAGAATACTGGCACAATTGCATCTTATCTTCGAGGCGCAGCAAAAGGCACTAGAAATACACGTGCCGGATATTCAACAAGCAGCCACAGAGTGGCAGGTAGTCCAGAGGACAAGCAGGAGGATCCCTCACGAAGGGCTTCCACTTGTACAAGCTATTTCTAGAGTGCCAATTCTACAAGCAACTCAGGCAGCATAGGCACCTACCCAGCCCTTCATGATGGGAAGGCCAAGACCAGGAGTAGTGTAACCACAGCCTCATACAACACAACGGAAGTTAGAGAGGTTGTAGGCTCTATCTTCATTTGGTTATGAATAGCAGTTGCGCACTATGCAGCAGCCACCTCCCTTTTCTAGATAGAAGCAGCCACTCATAGCATGGTAAAAACTGTAGTTTTAGCAGCCTTTTCAGGTACCAACGTAGCCATACATAGCACAACAGTATGGTGGTCCCTCAATGTTCCAGCCTCAATAGCCATTATTGCAGCCCATCTGTTGTGGAAACACTTGGGGTAGGTGCAGTGGACCATTTCTTTCTCTCATTATCTTTAGATGATGGTGTACAGCTCCATATTTATAGTATTATGATCTGATTTACCTCTTGGCCTTTGTTGTCTAAATATGCGGATTTATGGATGACTTGAAGGTGCAGAACTTTATGTACTGTAGCCTGGATAATGGGGGCTGAGTAGGGGGAGTTGTGGAGTTGTTTTGGTGGTGACCGGTGGCCCGTTTTGTATAGTGCATTGTGTATGTGTCTTTATGTACTAGCACACTCGGAGGTGTGACGGTCGGACGGTATTTGGATGCAAGGGGGAGGTGTCTGACTGTAATTGTTCTTTCTGGCTCACTGCCGACTCCCGCGGGGGCGACCGCGCGCCCTCGCTGTCCCATGACCGTTGCTGCCACCGGCTGAAGGACGCAGGCCTTGCGACCCCGCGGCCCCGGGCCCTGCTGCGTACTCCGAACAAGCGTGCGCCCCGATTACGCCGGATCTGCACGCCATCGGGCGGAGATCCGAGGTCACCCGTAAGGGGTGGACCGGGCGACGGCAGGCGCGTGCCGGCTCCAACGAACAAAACCACGTCAAGTGGTTTCGGAGCTAGGCAAGGCCGGAAGCGTTGAAGGCCGGCAACGGAGAGTGTTGCGGCGCCGCCCAAGAAGCGGGGCGCATTGATTTTTGTCTTTGGATCCCGGAGGATGACGCCTAGGCGCAGCCCCACTGCGAGGGGAATTGCACCGATGACGGCGTGAATTAACTCGAGAGCACAAGAGCGAACGGCCCCAAGAGGCCATGGAAACGGCTGCGTGGAGGAGGAGTTCTTTTCGACTGCAGACAACGGCGCAGCTAGCTGCGAGATGGCGCGGAGGAGGCGCATTATTCGGCGGAGGACAACGGTGCCCAACGGCCGGGCAATCGGCTTAATCGGAAGAGACAACGCGCGGACCGCGGGGGAACGTCGCGGCCCGTTGCGAGGAGGATCCCCAGCGCTGGAGGGTGGCCATGAAGCCAGCAAGGAGCGAGTAAGGCGGACGGAGGTGCGAATGCACGAAAAGTGCATTTCGGCGACCCGCGAGCATGGCCCGTCGTTCGGCGGCCATGCAGCTCCATCGAACAAGGGGATCAAGTCCCAAGGAGCAGCCACAGCATGCCCAACGGGGCAGTGTGGCAGGGAGCCGAGAATCGGCGCTGCAATGCCGAAGGAGCCGTGTGGAAAGGAGCAGCGCCTTGGAAGGCGCAACCGTCCCCGTCCGACCGCTGGCGACGGTGGAATCGGGCGGATTCTGGAGGATGAAAAGCTGGCGCAAACGGCCAAACGAAGGCCGTTGGCTCTGCAAAACAACGCGTGGATTGGAGGCTACGGCGCGGAGGAAAAAGAGGGGAATGGAGCAGCTTCGAAGCCGGGAGCCGGGCTCCATCCGAGCCCGGTGCACCAACGCGGAGCTGCGCGACCATTCGAAGATGGTCTGCGCCAATGGAGATTTCACAGGCGAGGTGTGGGCCGACTCCAACGAGGCCCACACCGGCGGAGCAGCGTCGCGGCCGGCGCGATGAAGGGGAATCAAAGCCGGGCACCGGCGGGCTCCATCCGAGCCCGGTGCACCAACGCGGCGCGGCGCGGCTATTCAACGATGGCCAGCGCCAATCGAACGACCAAAGGCGAGGTGTGGGCCAACTCCATCGAGGCCCACACCGGCGGAGCAACGTCGCGGCCGGCGCGACCGAGGGGAACCGAAGCCGGGCACCGGCGGGCTCCATCCGAGCCCGGATCTACAGCGCGGCGCGGCGCGGCCACACGAACGTGGCCTGCGCCGGCGGAGCTTCGAGATGCGCTGAATCGCAGGCCACTCGCGTGGCCTTCGCCGGCAGATCAACGGCGCAACCGATGCGCCCGAATGGAGCCATTCTGGGGCAAGCCGCCGGGCTCCATTCACGACCGGAAAAAGCGGATGCCGCGAGGCGCGGCCGGGCGAGCGCGGCCTGCGCCGATGGATCGTCGAGAGGAACGGCGTGGGCGGTCCACAACGAGGCCCACGCCGGTGGAGTGATTCTGCGGCCGGAGAGACCGAGGGGGAGCCGTTCCCGGGCAGCGCGCCGGGTTCCCACCGAGCCAGGAGGCCCGCAGGCGACCCAGCAACTCCGCGGAGCGCCAGTCGGACTGGCGGAGTGAGGTGGGGGGCTGAGTCGGACCGGGTTGCCGTACAGGGCAGACCGGTGACCTGTGAGACAGGGGGGGACGCCCTTACTGTCCAATCAAAGGGCTGTTGATTGGTTTACTGGAATTTGATGGATTTTGTGTGAAAGGCTGTGGTCCGCAGCACTGGGCCTTGGATTCTGCCAATGTACTGCGGCTAACCTAAAGGCCAAAGTACTGTGGGATTTGGGGAGTGTGAGGACGCCTGAACCAGTGCCGGGACCGTGACAGCGTGGGTGGGAACTGCGTGCTGTGCTGTGCAGCTGTGCTGCTGTGCTGTGCTGTGCTGCGCAGCTGTGCTGTGCGGATGTGCTGTGTGTGCGCTGTGTGTGCTGTGAAGTGAGCTGTGAATGAACATGGGATTTCAAAGATAGAAACAAAGGAATTTTCCAGGGACAATCTATATAAGTGGTCAGTCCCATAATCAAAAGGGGGTGAATCACTTAATTTTGAATAGATTGGTGAAGAGTGCATTGCGGGGCACAGCAAGTGCCAATTTTGGGCAAAGAGTTTGGGGATACTGCCCAAAGTTTTGAATCATGCTGTGACTCCACTAATAAATCATTGCAAGTGGCATAGAATTTTGTTGAGTGTGGGTAAAGCGATTCCAATCTCAAAATAGGTAAAAAGAATGATGAGTGATTGTTAGTGATTAAGTTTTGAGGTAGCCACAAGAAAAAGTAAAGTGGCATATGAGATTGGCCCACAAAATATGGCCATTGCAAGCGGTTTAGGGTTGGCAGCACTTGACAGTGATGGTGTTTTGGTGTGCAACCCAAGATGGTGGAAGGTTTATCACAGAACTGTACAGCCTGAAAGCAATCAGTTTCTGTGAAATGTGAGAGGAGCTGTACTTTTGGAATATAGCAGTATGCACTCCAATCACACAGATAATGACTTGAAGGTTGGAGTAAGTCTAAGGGCAATTGAAGGTAACTTCAAAATATTCTGATCCTAGACAAAGATATTGGGGGTTTGTAAAGTGTGATTATAGTGGGACCAGAATTCTGTCATAAAGACTACATCTCTCTGTATTGGGGAGATTAGGGTGATATTGAGATACCCTAACAGCCTTCAGATACCGGGTACTACGGCTACGAGGTTTTGGCCCTCGGCCCGGCTGAATACCGGGTAATACGACAGCGAGGTTCAGGCCCTCGGCCCGGCTCACTGGGTAATACGACAGCGAGGTTATGGCCCTCGGCCCAGTTGAACACTGGGTAATACGGCAGCGAGGTTCAGGCCCTCGGCCCAGTTAAATTCCGGGTAATACGGCAGCGAGGTACAGGCCCTCGGCCCGGTTGATGACCCTTCATGACCAGCCTCAATAATCCAAGACCAACAAGAATACCAAGTCAGTAAATGGATACAACACACGTGCAGATCAGCTGGGGGGACATGAGTTGGATATTGTGGTTGTTCCTTTGTTGGGTGCACATGTGTAGAGATGTAGGGAATGCCAGTAGAGGGGCATTGAGTTGGACAAAAGTGATGCCTTTCTTATATATCTGATCATGAGTTGGAAGTCAGTGCAGGAAAGACTACTATAGCAACAGCAGTGCTATGTGGCAAATCAGATCTTATGTTGATATGAGCAGGCTTTGAGGTTATCCAGTCACACCATGGGAGGAAACACCACTCATGTGAGAGAGGTGTTGTGGCAGACTGGAGGGACTTTAGAGCAATCATGGGCTCTAAGGTGATCTGATAGAAGCTACAAAAGCATTCAAGGTATTTTGCATTGGCACAAGGGGAGTAAGTCATGGTTGGGTTGTTACTCGACTTGATAGCACAATATAACTCAAGTTGCAGAAAAAGCTGTCTGGGGAGCTTATCTTGAGTTGCTGTGACATGTGGAATCAAGCGAGTCTTCATAGCTGGCATAAAAAGACATGACTGACAGGTGTATGGGTATGTGAAAAAAAATGTGGCCTAGACTCTTAGAGGTTTATGATTTTATGGTGGGCCACTGAATGAAGAACCCATATTGGTAGGGAAGCAGTTGTTGATATCCTGTTGTAGGTTGCCTAAGGGAATTAAAAGACGAGTGATGGGTAGTCTGACCAAAGGCAGCTGGAATTTCTGGAAAAAAAACAATGGGGTTTAACAATTGACATTTGGTTGTGGTGGTTGTGATAAATGGGCAGGTTATTTATCTGACAATGAAAAAAAAATGCAGTGGTTCAAACTCGTGTATTCGATAATTCTTTATTCTGGAGATTTCTTTGATCGCGGATGGGCAGGTTGGATCTCTGGCATCCCCCACATGCACAGAGTTATTTTCACCCGTACTCTATGTATGCATGTTAGGGTCTGGTCTTAGTGGATGATTGAGAGATTCAGGAGAAGCCCATAGTGGCAATCATAGTCACTTGTGATGGTATTAGGGATGGCCGGTGAGAGGCACCGGGAGGCAGTTCAGCATTACTGCCGGGTCAGAGGCGATGACTCCTGAGTCAGGTGTCAGAGAGACAAACTGGTTCACACTCTACCAGTTTAGTAGCATCGCAGAAATTTGGGGACAGGTGTACCAGATAACCTGATTCCTCCACTTAGCTCAGCTACGGATCAAAATGCGTCAATTTTGGTGTTGTCGTAGAGGAAGGCGCAGGGTGGAAAAGATGCCAGGCCTGGCAAGACTCCGAGCTGAAGCACATTACAGTCTTTAGGATGCAACTTTACAGGGCGCCTTTTCAGGTGGGATCAGCCCTTGCCAAGAGTGGCGAGGACCCTGGGTTGCAGTGTGAGAGGATAGAGACTGGTCCAGTTTTATTGCTGTGGGCCACCCCAGTCCCAAGAACTGGATTCACAGGACCACTGTTCTGAGGGTTTTAGCAGTGGTGATAGGCATAGGTATGCCAAGGTTGTGAGTTGATGGAGTAGTGGGTCTCGCACATGACTAGCTGCGACTGTCCATAACCATGACCTATCTGATTGGAGAATCTGGTGGTCTACGAGTGATTACTACCAGAGTAGCTCCCAGTGCTATGTGTATAGGAGCACTAGTGGCATCTTATCTGACCTTCATTTCTACAAAACTGCATAGTGGTATCTGATGATGGGAGCAGTTGGTCTGGAGGTTAGGATGTGACAGGGTGTCAGATCATCTATAGAGGTCTGCTATCGATAGCACATTATTCCATCTCTTCAGTGCATGTTGGTGTCATACCCCAAGTGCAACTGGGGACAGAAAATGTTTGACTATGGTTTCTACAGCTGTGAGACCATGAGTACTTGGCACGGCAGTGAGCAGAGTGGCAGGGTATATGGGTTGCCTTGTCATATATCGCCGAGGACGTCGATGTACCCCAGGGGGGGTGTAGCCATAGTGAGGGGACCAGCGGACAGATGGTTAGCGAGCTTCATGTCTCAGGTTGCCTTTCCTTAGGCACAAACATCGAGGTCATATAGTGCTGGATATGGTGGGGGCCTTTGCTGTGATGTTTGTGGGCCAATAACTGGTCAGATGCATGAGCGAGTGGATAGAGGTCGGTGTATGTTCTTGAGCGGCTGTGATTCTGGATAGCAACTGGGTACTTTGGAGGCGTTCCCCCGGTCGGTATAAAAATAGGGGTAGCCTGGCCAGTGGATGTCCCTCCCGGCTATTATAATAGGAGGATGCCGAAAGTCGCCACGAGCGCCCTCCCGGCATTATAATAGGAGGCGCCGTATGCATTTGAGTGCTGATCTCCGGGCTTAAAATAGGGGGTGACCGAAATCGTCTGCGGTGCATCAGTGGTTCAGAAGGCAGTTTACTGGGCTTAGGAATTATGACCTATATTAAATCCAGTAGTTTCTCAGTGACTTGGTACATGGGTGGTCGCATGGGGGAGAAACCTGGATGACATATGATTAGTTTCACCTTGATAACGGTCGAAGAAGTGGTGACTTTTTCTGTATCGAAATTGAGGAAGTCTTGATGATGGTCGGAGAACAAAAAAATACTTCAGTATCAAAATCGAGCGAATTGGCCTTAGCCAGAAAAGTATCGGACCTTAGTGGAAAAAAAAAATGAATAGTGTTGGTCTGATAAAAGCTTTGAGGTAGCTGGGTTGTTGTGGATCAGCTCAGTACTGGGACGGCTCTGGTGGCAAGAGCAACAAAAATGAAGTTCAGCAGAAAACTGGTAACCATGGAGAGAAATGGAAACTAAAATTAGAGCCAAACATGATACACACTAGGTAGAGCATGTGGTTATATGGTGGTCTACCTAGCGCACTTGTACAAAGGGCATTATGATTGTTGGATAACTTGGTGGCTTATGGATATGCAACAGAAGTAATAAGCCAAGGTGGAAACTCATTGAGCGTTTGCAGTGTTGGATCGCTTGAGGAATAGTGGAAGCATGGGATGGATCCTC